ACGCGCCACCATGCCCAGCTAATTTTTTGTATTTTTAGTAGAGACGGGGTTTCACCATGTTGACCAGGATGGTCTCGATCTCTTGACCTCGTGATCCACCCGTCTCGGCCTCCCAAAGTGCTGGGATTACAGGCTTGAGCCACCGCACCCGGCCCAGTTGCTATATTTTTAAAGGTAGGAACATGTCTATGATAAAGCCCTACATAATTATCCCACCACTCATCAGTCCACAAAGAGGGCAGTGATCCAGCTGGCTCAGATACTAATTAGAGCTATGGCTGGGGACTTAGTTTTTAAAAATCCCTTCAGAAAGCAAGCTCAAGCATCTCTGAAACATCTTTGAAATCTTTGTGTGCCATGCATTTTAAGGAGTGCATAGAAAATACAGAAACCTGACATTGGTTCTGACGTGTTCTGGATAAAATAATGCTTTTCTGAGAAGACAAGCAGTGAATTAACTTTGTAAGATCTTCAGCTTGAAGCAAAGTGTCAAAGGCTGTACTGGAAAATTCCAGCTTCCCTGAGACCCAAGGGAGCGATGGGCTGATGCTGCTTTACTTCTGGGACCCTACATGTCTTCACACATTGAGGATTCACCCAAAAGGTGAATTGCCCGGACTCTGAATGTTGGCATAAAGGTCTTGAGAGTTTCTCCTATGAAGCAAACATAAAACTTCTCCTATGAAGCAAATGTATAAATATCAAAACCGAGACTTAGTCTGTGAAAGACTTACTACTATTAAGGATACTAAAATGACCCCAAAACCCCAAAAAGACAAAAATAAAGGTGGTGTCTGAAATCAGTTCTTCCAACTAAGCTTATGCTGCACCATGGCAGGATCACTGCAATCACTGGAGAACCCTCCAGGTGACCCCCCAAAGGGGACCACTCTCATCTGGGTGGTGAGTTATGATGTGCATGGATGAGTCTCAGAGTGGAAGGCAACAAACACTCCTTCCACCTGGAGACCATCACTGAGCATCCCTTCCAAATGAAATGCTCCACAGCACAATTCTGGGTAGGACTGTGAGGCCAGAGGCTGCCCCACACCACAAGGAGTAAGAGGATTACCACCTGCCCTAGACGTTGACAAGATTATGTCAGTGGTGGCTCAGGCCTGCAGCCCCAGCACTTTGGGAAGCCAAGGCGGGCGGATCACTTGAGGTCAGCAGTTCGAGACCAGTCTGACCAACATGGTGAAACCCCGTCTCTACTAAAAATACAAAAACAATTAGCTGGGCATTGTGGCATATGCCTGTAATTCCAGCTACTTGGGAAGCTGAGGCAGGAGAATTGCTTGAACTCGGGAAGTGGAGGTTGCAGTGAGCTGAGATTGTGCCATGGCACTCTAGCCTGGGTGACAGAGTGAAACCCCGTCTCAAAAAAAACAAAAACAAAAGAGTGTCAGGCTTCAAACAAATGTAGTCATATTTCAGTATGGGGTCTGAGCTTGGCCGTAGTGTAACGCCCAAGTCCCGTTATGGACAACATCTTTATATAGCTAATGCTGCACCTTTAACTGGAACTGTTTGGAACCGTGGGGGATTTCTACTGAATACACAGATATTAAGTAGAACTATTTTCATCATATCCATTGTAAATTTTCTAAAATGCAAAATACTGCCTTTAGGAACCTAATGGAGAATGGGAGGAATCTGGAGAGATGGCCTAAGTTATAAAAGAGCATATGTTGGTATGAGCCACTAACACGGTTCAGCCAACACAGAGCGGATGTTTATTCTTGGCTTGCAGATCTTATTCCCAAGTCCCTGGATAGAGGAGTGAGTGAAGACAATAGGGAATGAGGTTCAGCTGAGCTGCCCCCCACTCATCAATCCAGGAGAAACAGAAACGCCCAAGAAAAACGTCCGCAGGGTCAGGAGACACAGGGAGGTCCATCATCATCTCTAACTGAGATGCAGTCACTCCCACTCAGTGATTCACAGAACAGGCCACACGGGTGGGGGCCACGTATGATTAAGCCACCAGGTACACTGCTAAGCAGGAGATACTCACCAGAGGAGCCTCTGATACCCAGGTGAGTCATAGCAGCTGGGAGGTTGCTCACACTATTCCCCACACTCATACTACCAAAGAGGTGGTCGCTGGTGTCCAGGGAGGCCGGCAGGGGCGCCGAGTAGTGGAGGTTGGTTAGATCTGGCAACGACCCTCCAGTGTTCAGAGTCCCCAAAAAGGGTGAGAGGCCCAGGTTTTGACCGTTATGTGGAAACGCACTGAAAAAAGAAAGATTAAGAATGACTTTCTACAATGCATTTGGCTGTCAGGAAACCAAACATGCCTTAGGCCTCTTCCTGTCCAGTAAGAGCAGTGGCTATCAAAGACCGCGGTCCTCGTGTGGCCCTCTCTCACTCTGAGAACACGGATGCTCAGGCCTCTCTCAAACAGACTTCCTCGCTGACTACCTGAGCCCACATCACAGGAATATTAGGTTATGGCCTAGAATAATCAAGACCAGTTAATTATGGATGCAAGAGTATTCTGAAAATTACAAAGCACTATATAAAATGTGAGCCACTGCCCTCTATTTATGTAGTTCTTTCTGCTGGATTTCTAAGTTATCTTTGCTACCAGAAAAAGTATCTCTGAGTAACTAGCTACCTTCCAAGATACATTTTTAAAATTACAGTCTTTATAAACTTAGAGTGGCAGACATGCTGCCATTCATTTATCACCATCTGTGGGCTGGGCACTGTGTGGCAGGCAGCAGCCACGTGGCGGTGGCACCATGGTGAACGAGCAGGGCGAGTGTGTCTGGGGTCAGGCCTGATCCCGAAATGTGCAAGCTGGGAGCTAGGGTATAAAAGGAGGCCCGCATACCATCTGTTTCCATTTTTAAAGTTACAAATCAAATGAGCAAACCCTTACATGAACTTTGTTCTGTGTGTCTATCTTGACAAATTATACCTTCATCATAGCCTGCGAGGCCAGATTTACATGAAGAACTCTCAGACTTCTCGGAGTTCTGTGCCAGAACACACAGGGAGAGGCAGCCTGGCCCTCCGTCCTTCCTTCCCCCAAGTCCTGCTCTGTACTGCAGTGTGCGCACATGGCCATCCCAGCCTACACAGCCAAGCTCTGTCCACACCACGCTGACTCTCTGGCCACCCCCTAAGCCTAACGGTGTACAATGGTGGTATGTTCCCCTTGAGAATGAAGCCCTCTCAAGGGTGGGGCCCAGGGAGGGGCCTGCCAGCCAGGTCCGAGAGGACCTTGTCCTTGCAGTTCACAGACTGCAGGAGAGACAGGCTGGGAAAGCAAGTAAGTGCAGCGTGGCAGGAAGCACGCAGTGCAGAGTTTGAGAAGGGGTGTGCATGACCAGTGGGTACAAGTGGCTCTGGGAGCACAAACGCAGGAGGTGTCCATGTCAGGATGGGCTCTGGAGGGGCCGGGTTTGTCATGGACATGACACAGTGTGTGTGGAACTGTGAGGAGCTGGGCATGGCCAAGGTGTCCAGTGTCAGGGCAGCGTATGGGGAAGGGAAGGTAGCAGATGGGGCGGGAGAGGATGTGCTCTTCTCGGGAGTCTGGATCAGGGACGGTAGAAAAAGGGAGGTAGGTTAAGCTTGAGAATGACATTTCAGAAATGTCACTGTGGTTCCAGTGTGGAGGATGGCCTCAGGGAGCAGAAACAGGCAGGGAGAACCAATGAGAAAGACCACCTGTAGTGGCCCAGGGGTGACCTAGGAAAAGCGCAGTGAGGTTGAAGCAGGGAAGAATGTGGGGGAAGGTGCCACCAGCCAGGAGCAGGGGGCATCATGAGACGCACTGAGGACACTTTATCCCATCCTGCACGTGCCAGGAGAGCACCTCCCAGGGGTCAGCCACTGGCATCTGGGCTTTAAGAGACTGAGCTGTAAGGAACATAACTGGCAACAGTACAATCCCATCATGCAGTGACAGAGCCTGGTGGGAGGCCATGTGGAGGGAGGCCCGGCCGACCTGAGGAGGCTTCCTTGGAGGACGTCTGAGCTGAGTTTAAAGGCTAAAGAATTCAGGTGATCTAGTTAGGGAAAAAGGTTTCAGGCAAAGCTCACAGCATGGGCAAAAGCAGGCAGGTGTGAGACTACAGGGTGTGCCCTTGGAACTGCGAGGATTCAGACAAGGGAGAGCTGCGTTGAGGAAGGCTGGGTAGTGATGGGAGATGGGACCAGAAGAGCAGGCAGAGAGCAGCCAAGGCTGGGACTGACGTGCGGTGACACTGACATACGGATGATGGTGGAAGGCTGGAAGCGGGGTGGGCAGTGTGTGTGGGGAGGGGTATCAGCCTTTCTTAGGACAGTGCAGCTAACAGTCTTGGGGAAGGGGTCTTGGGGTGCAAGGAGCAGACCTGGAGGCAGAGGGGGATGCTGTGACACTGCCGGACAGTCCAGCAGGAGGCCACGAGCGCAGGGAGGGAGAGCCAGGGTGGACTCCAGAGACAAGGAAGCAGGACTCAAGAACATCTCTGGGGCCTTTCGCCTGGGGACTGAGATGGGACACTGAAGATATGGGAGACTGGGAATGAGGGCAGGGGCATGGATGAGATCATGAGTTCTACTTTGGCTTCGACTTTTTGCTGAGTAGGAAGACATGCGGCAGGGATGTTTCTCTCCCAGTTATGCACAGGAGGTAACTGACATTCTCAAGTTTCCACTGAACAGAAGAGGTGGAAGCCATGCCATGGTGGGTCAAGATGGGTAAGCAGTAAGGAACACTCGAGAGTCAACAGACTTTCAAGAAGCATGGCTGAGAATTCTGGAAATGAAGGAAGGCTAATTAGCAGAGAAAGGTCTCTGCAAAGCCAGTGGGAGCAGGGCCAGGAAGTAGTAAAGTGGCCAACCTGATTAGGACCAGAGGAAGGTGGCGGCGGGGGAATCAGTGGCAGAAGAGAGCTGAGCTCTCGCTCCTGCCGGCCTCACCTCGCTTTTCTTGGTAAAGGTAGGCCTGGGTGATCTGTGGAGTCTTGGAAAGAAATGGGGCAGCAGGAGAGGTGTCCAACCGGATGACAAGGAAGAAGGATCATTTTGGTTGTGGAAAAACGGAATATAAATTTTGTCTTTTTTATTTTATTTTTTAGAGACGGAGTCTCACTCTGTCATCCTGGCTGGAGTGCAGTGATGCAATCTTGGCTCACTGCAACCTCTGCCTCCAGGACGCCAGCAATTCTCCTGCCTCAGCCTTCTGAGTAGCTGGAATTACAGACGCACATCACCACACCCAGCTAATTTTTGTATTTCAGTAGAGACAGGGTTTTGCCATATTGGTCAGGCTGGTCTCGAACTCCTGACCTCAAGTAATCTGCCCACCTTGGCCTCCCAAAGTGCTGGGATTACAGGCGTGAGCCACTGCGTCTGGCCTGAATTTTGTCATTTAGATGGCTGGAAGTATAGAACTGTTTATAGGGTTAAAGGTCAAGGACTAGAAAAAAAAATTGAGACCCTAGAGTCCTTGACGTGAGAACAATGGGCTTTCTGACTGAGAAAGAAGATCCATGGGCGATCAGGTGGCAGTGAAGCAGGGAGTGCAGGGGCGCGGCAGGAAGACGTGTCCAGTGGCACAGAGCAAGGACAGAAAAAATGTGGCCACTGTGACCCAGGCCATTAGTAACAGTCACAGCAATTCCTCTGCAGCTGGGACAAATACAGGTGGTTCCTGTCCAAATACAGTCACTACCCATCCGAGTCACCACCCACCTAAGGAAAGTAATGTGCTCCCCCCCACCCCCCCGTTCAAGACCCTCTAATGACTCCCATCTTCTCTGAGCCAGATCCAAGCAACACAAGCCTCCTTGAGCTCCAGGCCTCCTCCTGCCTTGGGGTCTTTTGCTTGGCGCTCCTGCTGCCTGGAGCTCTGTCCACCTCACTTCACTCTGACGGAAAGCCTTCTGCAATGCCACCGGTGGCTGCCTGCCCACCTGCCGCGCCTGCATCTCCTTCAGTGCATTTTCCCACCACGAATTTTGCCATGCTTTGCTTATTTGTTTCTGCCCATCTTGCTCTACTAGATTATTAGCTCCTCAAAAGCAGGAACTTGATCTGTTTTGTTCATTGTTCTAGCCAGTGCCAAGAATCAGGGGACCAATAAATATCTGCATGACTTGGAGTCACTGAATGGAATTCTATCTGCAACGTAAGACCAAGACAACAACTTTCTCTACCTAAGAAACACCTGCTTTAGAACTCTCTGGGTTGGCCAGGCATGGTGGCTCACACCTGTAATCCCAGTGCTATGGGAGGCCGAGGCAAGTGACCCATTGGGAGGATCACCTGAGGCCAGGAGTTCAAGATCACTCTGGCCAACACAGCAAGACCCCATCTTTAAAAACAAAACAGGTTCAGCATAGTGGCTCACACCTATAATCCCAGTGCCGTGGGAGGCCAAGGTAGGTGAATCACCTGAGGTCATGAGTTCGAAATCAGCCTGGCCAATATGGTGAAACCCTGTCTCTACTAAAAATACTGTAATACAGCTACTTGGGAGGCTGAGGCAGGAGAATCACTTGAACCCGGGAGGTGGAGGTTGCAGTGAGCCAAGAGCATGCCGCTCCACCCTAAGTGACAGAGAGGCTCCATCTAAAAAAAAAAATTAAAACAAATAAATAAAAACAAAGCAAACAACCCTCTCCAGGGCTAAAGTACTGAAGCCCGATTCTATAATGTAGGCTTTCAGAGCCTGATGGTTAAGCCAAAATTGGCTCTTGAAGAAAATCCTTTTTTTTTTTTCCAAATTTCCTTTTTACCAGGAAGCCCCTGAACCAGAATAGGTTGAAGGAGACTCTCTTGAGGAAAATCTTGCCCTTTCCATGGGAATGTCCTGCACCCCTCGGCGTCCCGTCTTTTGTTGGGCATGTGTGCTGGCAGGCTTTCCGACATTCTTAAGTGAACATCACCCTGTGGCACAGCTCAGCAAATTACCTGAATTTATGTTTAACTAGACAAAAAGAGGAAAGCATCAGGTCACCTGGCAGCTTGGTTGCACAGAAGTTCATTAACAGAGTTTCTGTGAATGTACTTAATGTCACTGAACTGTACACACAGAAATTTTTTTTTTTTTTTTTTGAGACGACGTCTCGCACTGTCACCCAGGTTGTAGTGCAGTGGCGTGATTTTAGCTTGCTATAGTCTCTGCCTCTTGGGTTCAACAATTCTCCTGCCTCAGCCTCCCAAGTAGCTGGGACTACAGGCGTGCACCACCACACCCAGCTGTTTTTGTATATTTAGTAGAGACAGGGTTTCACCATGTTGGCCAGATGGTCTCGATCTCCTGACCTCGTGATCTGCCCGCCTCGGCCTCCCAAAGTGCTGAGATTACAGGCGTGAGCCAGAGCCCAGACATAGAAATGTTTAAAATGATAAATGGCATAGCTGTTAACCAGTCAAAAAGAATGCCTGAGCTCCAGGTACTCAGTAGGGAGTGCCTTGAATGTGCTGCTGTGAGATACTCGCAGGAAGCTCTGTTGGGGGAAATCATATTCAAGGATTGCTTGAAGTAGGTATAGTTCACCCACTGACCCACTCGTGAGTAGGTTTATTTCACCCACTGACCCACTGGTGATTGTATGTACTAAGTCAGACTATGCAAGAGTCTCATTTCCAAACCACACGATTTTGGCCCTGGGCAGACTTGCTGTATCTGAACTGGCTTCAGTTCCAAGTGGTGGGACTGCTGTCATGGACGCTTTGACAAACAGCCCCAGGAAGCTTTCTCAGGGCTCAGGACAGCCCAGCGAGTTCCAAGGGTCCAGCAGCAGTCTGTGCCATCCCACGCAGCACAGCAGCTGGCCCTCCCAAAGCAGCTTCTGTTAAGGCAAGGGCTTCGTTACCTCTTTCATCTCCTCGTTTTCTCTTAGACTCAACTTCCTCATGAACTTCCTTTTTCATTTGCTTGTGCTATATATATTTTTGTAAGTTGTCTCAAATCTTTTAGGGAGTGAAGTTGCATACTATTAAATCCACTAATGAATGGTTTCACAGAAGCTTTTTTGTATTGCAAATGGAAAATATATTTATCTTCCATTTATGTTTTTAAGTTGTGGTGAAAGAGATGTATCATAAAATTTACCATTTTAACCATTTCTATATGTACAGTTCAGTGACATTAAGTACAGTCACGCAAACTCTCTTAGCGTCTGTGCAACCAGGCCGCCAGGTGAACTGACGCTTTCCTTCTCCTCTGGCCAGGATGTCACTGATGCCCACAGCCCGCCATAGCTCAGGGCTGGTGAGCTTCTCTCCACTCCTGCACGTTTCTGCTTCTGCCGCTGCTTTTACCCAGAGAGTGATGTATTTACCAAGTCAGTTGTGTGATTCTCAAACATACTTATGTCAGTTTTGTTATTATAGTTATGTAATTTAATTACTTTAAACAGATGAAATATGAGTATCAAAAGAGAGTGACTTTTTATGAAAATGCAGTTGACTTTCAATTTATACGTAGCAAATTACGTTCTGAGAGTTCTGTAACAAAGCAGTGAGACTTTCCTTTCAGGAAAACCTTCAGGATAGTCCCTGAAACACAAACAGAAAGAACGTTACTTACCTGCCACCTCCAACATCACAGGATCGAGGGCGTCCTGACAGGGACTGAATCTGAGAAGAGACAATGAAAGCTAGGTGTACTCACTGTCAAGCCAAATTCAAGTTTTTGAAAAGTGTCTTCACAAGGATCTTGAGCCTCTAGTCGGTGCAAGTGAGAGTCCACATGTCAACAGTGTCCTCACAGAGCAACCGTTTAGGTTTTGGCAAGACTTATTTTTTTTTCTTTTGAGATGGAGTCACTCTGTCGCCCAGGCTGGAGTGCAATGGCCAGTCTCTGCTCATTGCAGCCTCTACCTCCTGGGTTCAAGTGATTCTCCTGCCTCAGCCTCCTGAGTAGCTGGGATTACAGGTGCCTGTCACCATGCCCAGCTAATTTTTGTATTTTTAGTAGAGATGGGGTTTCTCCATGTTGGCCAGGTGGGTCTCGAACTCCTGATCTCATCATCCACCCGCCTCGACCTCCCAAAGTGCTAGGATTACAGGCATGAGCCACCATGCCTGCCCGGCCTAGGTTTTGGCAAGACTTTTTTAAAACCTTCCAGGCCTAAGGGAGGTATAATATTAATATATTTCCTTAATTTGATGCCTTATCAATTTATCTTCTGGAATAATATTAAAAGGACAGTGTGTTACACATAGAACTTTTTTTTTCCTTTTCTTTTTTTGAGACAGTTTCACTCTTGTTGCCCAGGCTGGAGTGCAGTAGTGCGATCTTGGCTTACTGCAACCTCCGCTTCCCGGGTTCAAGCGATTCTCCTGCCTCAGCCTCCTGAGTAGTGGGGATTACAGGCAGGTACCACCACGCCCAGCTAATTTTTGTATTTTTAGTAGAGACGGGGTTTCACCATGTTGACCAGGCTGGTCTCAAACTCCCGACCTCAGGTGATCCACCCACCTTGGCCTCCCAAAGTGATAGGATTACAGGCGTGAGCCACCATATCTGGCTGACGTAGGGCTTTTTTTTTTTTTAATTTTATTTTTATTTTTTATTTTCCTTTAGCTACAATTCAAGATGTTGACGTAGAACTTTTAAATAAACGTTTCTTTTCCTAATGGCTTGAGAGGAAAAGAAATAAATAAAAGAAAAAAACAGGGTAAAAAAAGAAAGAATGTCAGAAGAAAATAAGCTATTTCAACGAGAATATAAGCTCCAGATGGACAGGAATGAACACTCCAAATCCACAAGAACCAAGGGAGATGAACGCCTCTCTCCAGAGCGGCCAGTCCCTGGTAGTCAGGGAGGTGTGCATGCCGCTGGCTTCTTTGCTGGAGGAGACACAGCTGTCCTCTGACAGAAGCCTCCAAAACCACAGTGCCTTTTAAGACAACTGCAAGGCTAATGGTGACTCTGGTAGGCCTGGTAGAAGAAAATGGAGCTGGACCAAAGGGATCCTTCACAGGCAAGGAGAGTTAAGGACAGAGGCAATACAAGCTATTGCAAGAGAGCATCCTTAGGGCTGGAGCAGCTTCACTGTTTTCTTTCAAAGTCAACACAGCTTCCCTACGGAAGAAAGGCCAAGGCAAGGACTGCGGGACCTCCCTCTCTTCCACCGTGGGTGAGGTTTACAGATAGCTGAGGTGGAGGTCAGCTAGCAGAATTTTAGATACAAATTCTCAAAGGCACATGGAAATCATAATAAAACAGATGCCTTGTGTACTGACTCTTGGAGGACTCAGGTCAAATGCCCTTGATTTAAAAAGGGCTATCTGGTACACCAGTAATTCTGGACAGAAGCTGGAGACTGGTATAAAGCGCTGGCTAAAAACCAGAAAAATCTGCCTATGACTTACAGCCAGGTTTTGGAGCTTTTAGCAAAACAAGTAAGATATGGGGGACTCGGCAGGGTTTTTTTTTTTTTTTTTGAATAAGTAAATTCATATGAAAATTAGAAAGTCAAGAGATCAATGTACTAATTCACTGACACAACTGTGATAATTTTGACTTGAAATGTCATCTCTTGTATATTCTTATCTCTGTCCTCAGACAAATCTTCTCCTTTTCCCCCAGTTCCTCTTGTTTTCACCTCTGCAGGATTTTTTGATGACCTCCAAAGTACAAACATTCATTGACAACAAACATAGTTGGGTACTGTTCACCCACCTCCTTGGTCTCCCATAGTTGTTTTGGCAGTGGCTTCGGAACATGTAACAGGTTCTCTTCTTTCAGTGGGCCAGGGAAAGACGCTACTAAAGGGAGGAAATAAAGCAGCACAGTCATTTCATTAGAAGCAGGCATCCAGGCTGGGCACGTGGCTCACGCCTATCACCCTAGCCCTTTGTGGAGCTGAGGCGGGAGGATCCCTTGAGCCTAGGAGTTGGAGACAAGTCTGGGCAACATAGTGAGACCTTGTCTCTACAAAATATTTAAAAATTAGCTGGGTGTGGTAGCTCACACCTGTAGTCCCAGCTACTCGGGAGGCTGAGGTGGGAGAACTGCTGAGGCCACACTGAGCCATGTTTGTGCCACTGCACTCCAGCCTGGGCAACAGAATAAGACCCTGTCTCAAAAAAACAAGAACAACAAAAAAAGAAAGCAGCCATCCCACCTACCTTTGGCTGAACAAATTATCTTTGTAAAAAATGATTTAACAAATAAAATGTTTGACTTATTTAACACACCGAAGTGACTTATTTATGGACTCTCTACTAGGGAAGCACCCTGAGCGCTACTGTGGGGGTTGCAGAAATGAGTAAGACACGGATTCAACCTTGACGGAAAGTGTAATCTAGTCAGTGGACGAGGGCAACACGTAAGTAACCATCGCTGAAAGAAGAAACGAGCAGACACCCGAGAGCTGAGGGTAGATGCTGCTGAGAGGTGCAGAAGAGGAAGAGGCCAGGAGGGCTCTGGAGCTGGCACTGGGGGAGGCCTTGGAGACACAGGAGAGGGAATTCCAAGAGAGGGAAGATGAGAGTAAAGCAAGTATTTTTAGCTGGGGTGTAGGCTGAGTAAAGGGGATGGTAGGAAGCAAAATGCAGAGGAAGGCGGCCAGGGCAGGCAGGGCTCTGCAGGCGTGGCAAAAGAGAGAATGGAAGCAGAGGGATGAGGAGAGAGCCATGATAACGCAACAAAGATGAAATGGGCAAGCACGGCGAAGAGAGGTGTCAGCTGGAAGACATGGTGGTAGTGGTGGAAGTGGGGGACAAAAAGGAACCGACAACCCAGAGGATCTGAGGCTGGGCAGCTGCTGGGACCGCTGTTGGCTCTTTAATGCAGCAAAACCACCAGTATGAAGGGACCATTCCAGGGCTTTCTGCTTTAACTCTCTCAGTTGTACCAGGTAAAACAAGAATGCTGGGTCACAGAACAAGGAAATACTTTTTGTTCTCAGAAAGAGACCAGAAAACAAGGCGCAGCCCTCAGGAGTTAAGTGGTCTGATGTCAGGAAGGGGATTCCACGCTAGGGACACCGGTGACTGCTCAGAACCAGGAATGCTGTTGAGTTCCAGTGGCCACCAAAGTGCCAGTGTGACTGTCATGACCATCCTGCCTTAGCCCCACACAAGACGGCCGGGTACCCAAGAATAATGGACCCTAGAAAGAAGGCACCTGAAACAGGGCCCAAACTTTCCCAGTAAATTCTGAGATAAGAGTTTGAAACAAAAACTCTAAAATAAATTTATCTTGTATTTAACAAAACCTAGTCGATAAATGCAATTGTGGACTTCTAGAATGAATGAAGTACGGGTGGGGGTCTAACTTATTTGACAGCACAGTAAGAGAAGGATACAGTGCTCTTCAGCCAACCTGCCCAGCGCCACCAGGACAGCACTCACTTCTGCTAAACCAGGCCAGGCTTTGTCAGTGTCCCCAGGTGTCTCTCTTGTGTCTGATAAATGCTGACCCTAGAGCTGGCTCTCAGCAAACTACAGAACAAGAAAAACGGGCTTTGAGAGCCTTTATAAACTAAAACAATGGGAGGTCAAGCATAGAAAATTGCCCTAAAAGTCTGGGTGCAGTGGCTCACGCCTGTAATCCCAGCACTTTGGGAGGCTGAAGTGGGCAGATTGTCTGAGGTCAGGAATTCGAGATCAGCCTGGCCAACGTGGCAAAACCCCATCTCTACTAAAAATACAAAAAAAACCCAAACAAACTTAGCTGGGCATGGCGGTGGGTGCCTGTAGTCCGAGCTACTCAGGAGGCTGAGCTGGGAGAATCGCTTGAACTCGGGAGGCAAAGGTTGCACTGAGCTGAGATTGCGCCACTGCAATCCAGCCTGGGTAACAGAGCGAGACTCCATGTCCCCCTCCAAATTGCCAGGCAAGGGCACAGTGGCTCATGCCTGTAATCCCAGCACTTTGGGAGGCTGCAGTGGGCAGATCACCTGAGGTCAGGAGTTTGAGACNAAAAAAAAAAAAAAAACTGCCCTGAAAGGTACTGTCAGATGCTGGGAAAAGTTTCAAGGGTTGAGTGAGGTGGCATCACACACAGCTCAAGGCTATTTCTCAAAAGAGGTTGGTTATAAGAATATGGTTGGGGCAGACTCCAATGCTTTAATGGGGACTGTTTTCTTAGAGTTCATTGTTTTTGGTCCCTTTTCATATCCAAGATTTGGTGGAAATTCTTTGAAGCATTGAAGGAATGCACCCAACCTTGAAGCCATTTATGAATTTCTGTTCTAATTGACGAGATGTTCACTGATGTTTTAATTTTCTGTGGTTTTAGGAATTTCTGTTCTAATGGATGAGATGTTTATGGATGTTTTAACTTCTTGTGATTTTATGAATTTCTGTTCTAATGGATTAGATGTTTATTGATGTCTTAACTTCTCGTGATTTTATTCCTAGCCTGAAAGGGCTTGCCCAGGAAAGGCATGTGCAGAATATGATAGAGTGCTGTGCCTCCTGCAAGACGCTCCTCATTCATCGCGTCCCCCATCCGTCTCACCTCTGTGACATATAAACCTAATTTTGTTATTTTCAGATTACAAAAATTAAAGTCCAGATTACAAGGATTTAGAAAAAGAAAATTGTAGCTGGAACTGAATGAATAAATGCTGTGTGGGGCCCCTCCTTTGTCAATGGCTTGGAGAGTCATTTCCATAGATCTCCAACACTGTTTGAATCGGTTTGACGAACTCAGCATCTTGTGTCAGGTTTGCGTTTTCATTTCACAACCAATTTACATTTTTCTGGCATTGTTTATTTATTTACTTTTTTCAGGCCCATACCGGCTAATTTTCTTTTTTTTTTTTTTTTCAGGCCCATACTGGGACATTGTATATTTACATACGTCAACAAAGACTTTCTCAACGGGCAGAGACTACTGGAATAACTAATTGTTTAACTGACTGATTCATTCATATTTTCATGTGATTACAACTTCTGCTTCCTTGCACAACCTTGTGACTGTGGGGGACCTAAATAAAAAGGAAGCTTTGTAATGTAACCACACATTACTTTCTCCTGGCCTTCAACATGGCTAGCCTTAATTTTTTAGAGGCTCTCTGAAATGTAAGCCAATCAGCAGCTCTCAGCATACGGGGGAGTCCTGAAAACATGAATGTTTATTAGTGAAGCTAATGAAAAATGTCCACTACTCAGCATCCCACTCCAACACAGGCAGGTAAAATCAGTTCATACCTTCCCCATGTCCATCGTTCTCACCATCACAGAAACCTAGTGGGAAAGGAAAAAGAAAAAAAAAAAAAACACTTTTATGTGGTACTTTCATTTTCATGTATTTAAGAATTAGTAACTCTTTATGATTTAAGTAGAATTCTGAAAATTCTAAGGCACTTTTGATACACTGATTTTCATTTAAGGTGCTTTATCATTTACCCTAAAAATAGGTATAGCTAATTTGAGACTAAAGTTGGTTCCTTTTTCTTTTCCTTTAAAATTGTCTCAGTCTTAAATTTTCTTACTGTTTCTGTCTTGAGAGAAGAACAATTTTTACAAAGCCTGAGAATCTCTATTCAAACCACAAAGTAAAAAAGCATAATGGAAATTCTCTTCTAAATGCTTTATCATGGGGGTAAGAGCAGGTAACTCCAAAAGTCTATACCACTGTTTGACACTCACCATGGTGTCTACAGGACAAATCCGAAGTTCCATGCTGTATGCTATTATATATATATTTCTTATGCAGTGAAGTTATTTTAAGAAGAAAATTTATCTGGAGTCTAAGTCAATTTAAAGGGTACATGAGATAGCTATTCACAGTTTTAAAACTTTGACTTGGAATACGTTCTGGCTGAGTGAAGTATTTTTAATCCATGAATTACATCACAAATGACAAAGTATAGTATTTCCTATTGCTCTAAGCTAAAACTAAAGAACCATGCCAAGAATGTAATATCTTAGCGTTCCCCTAGGAGCAATCAAATATATCAAATATACCAAATAAGTTTTCAGTACAGAATCAGGATACGTTATTAAATCCTAAGGCTTTAAATATAGCTTACTTACATTTCAGATAAGTTTTTGGGTAAGGTTAACCTGTAGGTTAAAGTGATTAGTCTACACAATGTCAATGAAGTGTCTAATAACCATTCATTCACTCAACCCATATTGAGTAAGTTTCTGCATCAAGTGCTAGGTGGAGCCGGGTGATACAGAGTAGGTGAGAAGACACAACACAGTAACACGGTTACACGGTAGCACATTCTGTAACATGGTGGCACATTCTGTAACACAGGTAGAAGACAGAAAATTTTAATAGAGCCCTGGGGTGGGGTACCACGAAGAGTCCCCAGGAGTGTGAAGAGGTGGATAAATTAAGCAGACACACAGAGACAGAATTTCTTTGGGCTCATGGAACCAGAATCTAAGTAAGTGTTTGAAAGCTTTATTTTAGAGCACATATAGAGCCCTTGGGTAAGCTTGTTAAAACGCAGATTGTTGGGCCCAACTCTCAAAGATTTTGATTCAGAAGGTGTGAGTATCAGCCAAGGAATCTACTTTTTTTTTTTTTTTGAGACAGTCTCACTCTGCTGCCCAGGCTGGAGTCCAGTGGTGCCATCTCGGCTCACTGCAACCTCCGCCTCCTGGGTTCAAGCGATTCTCCTGCCTTGGCCTCCCCAGTAGCCGAGATTACAGGCACGTACCACCATGACTGGCTAATTTTTTTATTTTTTTTGGTAGAGATGGGTTTCACCGGGCCGGGCGTGGTGGCTCAAGCCTGTAATCCCAGCACTTTGGGAGGCCGAGGTGGGTGGATCACGAGGTCAAGAGATCGAGACCATCCTGGTCAACATGGTGAAACCCTATCTCTACTAAA